AACTTTGGGAATATTCTAAACATAATTTTTTAATTCTTTTCATATTCATTCCTAGATTTTCTTTTGATCCAGAAATAAAATAAATCTATTTAGAATCTATATCTAGTCTTTATTTTAAGTTATTTAATGTATTTTCTATCTAGGAACCTTAGTTTGGATTATTCCCAATATAAAATATTATTATTACTTTTGTTAATAATTAATACTAATTGTTTTTTCCTTTACTTTATATTGAGTTTTTATTTTATTCGTATTATTTTTATGTTTCGTTTATCTAATAATTCCATTAATCAGAATCTTTTTATTTAATTTATAAAATTATTATATTTACATATAATAATATTTTTACTTATTTAACAATCTGATATATCTTTTATCATTACTATTACAGAAGGAACTTATTCGGCTAGTTTGGATACAAAATTAGATTTAACGATTCCTTATTCACTATTTACCCTTTATTAATTCATAGATATTCCATCTATTGGTTCTTTTTTAATTATTTCTTTATGTTTTAGTTACATACTATAGTTTGGTTATATATATATATATATATATATATTAATATATAGTTTTTATATTTTACTTTACTATCGGCTCAAATTCTTAAAATTTTTCAATAAAATATTGGGCATGACCTTATGTTGATTAAATATTTATTAATGGTTTATATTAAACTAAGTATTATTAATACATTTTTTTATATGTATATAAAAATAGTATTTTTGATATATTAATATTATTGTGAAAAAATTTAAATATGTTTTATCTTTTATTTTTATAAATTTTAATTATTTATTTTATTTAATAAAAAAAAATATATATTTTTTTTTGTCATATTTATTAATTTTATTTATTTATTTATTTTTAAACTATATTTATAGTTTAAAATTAAATGAATATTTTATATTTAGTTTTATTTATATATATAAAAATTTTAGTTATATGTATATTAATTACTATAAATACATTTTTTACTGATAAAATAATATATTTAAATCTATTTTATATATATCCACCCCTCTATTTTTATAGTAATTTTTATATAATTAATATTTTTAATAAATAAAAGATATAAAAAAAACATTATATTAATATAAAAAATGCTTCCTATTTTATAATTTTACCCAATATTAGCAATCGAATAAGTCGATAAAGATATATTATAAGAAGTTTGTTTTATATCTCCTAATTTATTTATAAACTAATAAATTCTTAATTAATTTCACATTCTATATCCTACAATATTTTGGGGATATCTCGAGAACAAATTCTTGAATTTAAAAAAAGAAACATTTGAAAAAATCCTTTCTTTTTTTTAACAAGACATTATAATTAAATAAAATGATTAAAGAATAATTCCATTTATTCTATGGTTTTAAAAAACATCAGATTTTTTAAAAAATTTATCAAAAAAAGACTTGAGTCTTTTCGAGGAAGAACATAAAAAATATTTCTATTTTGATTTGTAAAACTAAGAATTTTAATATTCTCTTATTTTATGTGCAGTTATTTTTTATTATTAAAATATTTAATAGGATTTATAGCTTTTTGATTTAAATAATATTAAAATGTTTGATTTTAAAAATAAGAAATTTTAGAAAAAATAATCGAATTAAATTTATAAATAATGATTTCAATATAAAATGATAATAAAAATTAAGAAGTCTTTTATATTGATTTCTTTTCTCAAAAATCCACAAATAATTATACCGATACTGTTTATATTATTTTAAACTAGAAAGAAAACCAATTTTAAATAGGATATGAATGTGATATTAAATAAACCCTTTAATTAAGCATAGAAAAGAGTATTTTTTAAGAAAAAATAAGCAATTAAATTTAAATAAATAATGACATAAAATAATATACTTAAAGTCTTAATAATGAAATAAATATTAAGTAATAAATAAGTTTATAATAACAATAATAAATAGATTTATATATTAATAATTAAGACATATAAAAAAACTAAATGAATAAAAACGATTTATTATAAATAATTAATAACTTAGAGCTAAAAATTAAATAATTATATTTTTAATAAAATGAACTTAAAATAGACTAATCATATAAAAATAATTTTAATCTAAATATAAATAATAATAATGTATAGTTTTAAGAATAATTTTGGGATTAAAACAATGAATTAAGAAGTTAAGTATTAACTGCTAGAGTAGTAACTTCGACAGAACATAAATTTCTTAATATTTAGTAAAATTTTTAGGCGGAATTAATATATAATTAAATATGTAATATTTGTTATAATTTAAAAAATATAAAAGACTTTATATTTTTTTAATGCTGTGCAATAAAATACTGTAAAGATTGTTTAAAATAATACTATAATTAATCAGAAAGCATTTAATTACTTTAAGATCTGAAATGCATAAATGAAGTATGTAGGGCAATTGTTCCTTTTTAACTTTTGATTGACTTTTTAAGTAAAAAAAAAATTCAATAATTACAAATTAATATAGATTTGAATAATGTTAGGTGTAATACATGTAATTAATTTTATAAAGAGGGAATTCCAGAAAATGTATAGTTTTATCATACTCCTTGTTGTCAGTAATATATTTGTAAAAAATGCAAAAATAAAGCCCATGAAGAAAACCCATATTATTGTCCAAGATTTTTGGATTAAGTATATAATAATATAGAGGTTAATATATAAGGGGAGGAGCCAAGGATTTAAGAATTTATATAATAAAAAGATTTTTTTTTTTTAAATAAAATAAAAATAATGAGTAAATTTTCTAAGATAAGTTAGCGTCACTTAAAAAATGTAAACTATTTAGAATTTGCCCTTAAAAAAATTGCTATGAAGTAATTTTTAAAGACGAAAAATGCGACCATATTAAATGTTATAAGTGTAAAACCGAACTTTGTTTTAATTGTGCATGTTTAAGGAGTCCAACCGTATAACATGATAACTCTTTTCATAGATAAGGGTGTAAATATAAATGTGATAAAAAAAATTAAAAATGTGAATTGTGCAAAATAAATTAATGTTAAAGGGCAGATAGTTGGGAAGATTATAAAAAAAAGTTAATAAGTATCTTTTCAGAGGACATTATTAATAAATTTAAGGATAATTGGATTTTAGTTTAATTTATATATATTTATTATGTATATTATATAATTTATTTATTTATCTATATAATGTCTTTTAATTTAAATTATTATTATTGTTTTTGTTTAAATAATAATATATATATAGTTCTTAATATAATCTATTAATTATATTAAATTAAGTAATTATAATTATTTTTGTTTCTATAAATAATTCGATTTTTTATTATTTAATGCTATTAATAATTCTATAATCAATTTTTAGTTTAAAATTGTGTTTATTTCATTAAATATAATTAATTATTTCTTTTAAAATATATATTAACAAAATATTATAAAATATTCAAAAAATGATAAAGAAAAATAGTTTAGTATTAAAATAAATTAAATACGATGTTTTTTTTATATTTTATTAAATATTTGAATAAATATATGATTACATTATCTTATAATACATAAAATTTAATATATGTGATTGAAATTATAAAGAGAAAGGGAAAATGCGTATTTTCGAAAAAAAAAAGAAGCTTAGTTTATTAAAGAATATCTATATAATAAATACAATGCGGTGAAATTCTAAATTCAAATTAATATGTTGTATTTTTAAAAGAAGTGAAAATAAAACAAATAATGATTAATAATATTAGTATATGAACAAAAAATTAAATATTTAATTATTATAATATATTAATATAATTTTCTTATTTATTTTCTTAATTATAAATTCTAGATTTATTCTAGATTTTAAAAAACGCATAAGCATGTTATAAAATCAAAAATTTAATATATTTAAAAATAAAAATATATATATAAAAAAAAAAAAAACATAAACAATGGATTAAGAAATATAATAAGACATAAAATAAAACATATAATTAATAAAAAAATCACATAAAACTAAAAAACCTGATTGGGGTATACCTATTGCCACTTTTTGTCAAGTTGACGCCCATTCAAATTTCAATTTCAAGAGCATGATACACGATTTTAATAATATAAAAGCTGAATTAAAAAGATTCGAAAATTTCACGACTTTAGAGCACCCTGAAAAGGAAAAAGGGGGGGAAATAGTAATATATTCTGGAATAAAATACTAGTGTGTAGAATACGCTCGTAGATTTATGATAATAAACTAACATGTAAGTTTCGAAGATGTGGATTGTGCATATCATATATTTGATTTAAATTAAGTTAGGGATATTTTCAATAATAATATAGTTTTACCTTTTTAATCATATTTGAATGGGGGAAATGAGCCACCTAAAATTGGAGATTTGATTATTTCGTAAAAAAGCTCGAATTAAAGATTCGGACATGTGGCAGTAATTGTAAGAGTTAATTTGAAAAATAACTATGTAGATATTATTGAATAAAATTATAAAAATAGGAATTACGAAAATAGCTCAGATCATACTAGGAGATTAGTCTTGGGAGTTAATGGGGATAAGTATTATCTTTATAATAAAAACTTTAATATATAATATCCTAAAGAGAAGGTATCTAGCGATACGGAAGATTCGGATGAAGAAGGAATTTTAGGGTGGAAAAGAGTTGAGAGACCTTTAAAATATTTGATTATATGATGAATGTATTACTTTTGAATTTTTTATATAATTTATATAATAGCTTTTTTATATATTTAGTTATACATTATTAAAATATATTGAATTAATATAAAATATATAATTATTAATAGAAAATATTTTTATATAATTTTCTTATTTTTGCAAAATAATATAATATATAAAAACTTATTTTTTAACAAAGATAATTTTTAAAACTATTTATATTACAACTATAATAAAAAAATATATATTTTTATTTTTTATATTGACGAAAGAATAAAAAAAAATCGTATAAATAAATAGTTAAATTTAATAAAATGAATTATTACATATATATATAAATATATATATTCAAATATATCAAAATCCATTTTTAACTCCATTAGCAATTCCATTATATTTAATACTTTTAGCTTTCTTATACAATAGATCTATAAAAGTATCAAAAATAGGCAATTAAGTAGCTTCTTAAATATCATACAAATCAGGCCAGCAATTAATTTCAAGAACAACAAGCCCATGCTTTTTAGAATCTAATACATCTACTCCAGCAATCAAAATATTATCTTCTATCGCATGAACTGCATTTTCCGCAATATTATAATATTCTTTTAACCTAGGATCTTACATTTTAGAAACTAGTTTAAAGTTTTCATGATAACTAACATTAGATCTAAAATCTTAAGACAAATCTTAATATTCAGCACAGGCGTACCCTTTACCATTAATAACCAATACTCTAATAGATTTTCCCCAAGTATCATCTATAAATTCTTGGGATAAGGTAGCTTTATTATCCCATTGAATTTTAGAAACAGTCGTAACTCCTTCATCTGGGTGTTTTGATAATTTAACGCCGTCTCCACCATAATCAGAAAGGGTTTTAATAACTGAATTTTTGGTGAAGTTTTATTTATACATTTATTTAACGGCATCTATGTAAAAACCACAAAATGTCTTAGGAATAGGAACTCCTGCATGTGCAAATGCATTTGCTTAAAGTAATTTATTTTCTAAAATTTATATAACTCTAAAACTATGAAAAACTATTTTATTTGCTGCTTCTACTGAATTTATTATATATTGGTAATATTCTTTATTTTATTGTCTCATGTAACCATAAGAATAAAAAGCGTCAAAATCTAATAGTTTGCCGTTGTTAAAGAATTCAATATTTCTGGAATCGAGTTAAATATATAAAGTATTTAAATCCACTTTTGTGACTATGGCACCTTTATTTTCGAGTAGGTCAATTATTTTTTAATCTAGTTCATTAAAAAATACAGGATCTGGGTTTACTAAATAAGCTATTTTTATTTTTTTATCCATTTTTTTTTTTTTTTGGTTTTATTTGTTTTTTTTTTTTTGATTTTTTTTTTTTTTTTATTATGAATATTAGTATTTATATGTATTTTTTTTATTCTAGATATATTCCTGATTTTGTTTTTTAATTTATATTGAAATTCTTTGGTATAATATATATTAATAATAAATAGAAATAAAAATATAATTTTTAGCAAATAGAAATATAGTATTAATATTTATATGTTATTTAATATAAATAAGTAATTATTAAATTTTTTATTATTGATTTTTTTATTTAACTCTTTAATTTCATCTATTTAAAAATATTTTTTTATAAAATTTTTATTCAAATATTTTTATAATTTTCTCGGTTTTATTTATAAATATTAAATAAAAAAAATAATTTAAATAATTTTTTATTTGAATTAAAAAAAGCAATATTTAAAATTAAAAAAAATATATATTAAATTGTTTTGTTTCTTTATTGTCTATCACATTTTTTTTAAAAAAAAATTAATATAACCAATTAAAAGTGAAGATATTAATTATTTATAATATTAGAGAGATCAAATATTTCTGTATATAAAATTATTTATATATTTATTGTTTTTAATTTATAATTTTAAATGTTAAAAATAAATTATTTTTTATATAATAAAAAGAAAATGAAAGAAAAAAAAAACTTTAAATAATTTAATTAATATATATAAAAAAAAAATAAGAAAATATATAGATATTATATTTAAATCAATAAAAAATAAAGATAAAAGAAAATAATATATATATATGTATATATATATATATATATATATATATATATATATATATTATTATATTACTCTTAAAAATATTTTAGATTTTATATGTCACATTTTTATTTTACTTAAAACATAATATGCAAACAAATATATGTTACAAAAATTATTTATATCCTTTTTTTTAAGTTCTTATACATATCACATAAAATAAAAAATTATTATTATTCATATACATATATTTTATGAAATTTTATTATTCTATATTTTTTTTTCTAAAATTTCTATTATATATATTATACATTGTATATTTATTAATTTTTTTTTAAAAAAAAAATATGAAATTTATATGTATTAAAGAGCTTATTAAAAATAAAAAAAGAATTTTAAAATTTTTAATTTTAAATAAAAAATCATTTATATATATAAATAATTTAATATTAAATAAATTAATTAATTTTTTTAAATAATTATTAGTCAAAAATAATAATTTATTATATATTATTAAAAAATATATTAAATTTATAATTATTTTAAAAAATACAAAGCAAATTTACAAAATTAGCAAATTTATAGTCTAAAAATAACACATATATCTATATCCAAAATTAAATAATTTAAATTAATTTCTGGAAATCATAAATATATATATATTTTATTAATAAAATTCAAAAAAAATAATAATATCTTATAAAAAATTAATTTCTATAAAAATAAATAATGGAAACTATAATAAAATCTAAATTATAGGCCAAAAAGCAAAAAGCTGAATGGGGAACAATAATATGCTAATTTTGCTAAGTTCCTGCATATTCTAATTTCGGTTTTCGGTGTATGATTGCTTAAATGAAGCAATAAAAAACCGAATTACCCAGTTTCTATAATTATATATAAATAAAAAATCCCGTAGACTAATAAGAACATGTAGTTTTTTGTGGATTCAAATATTAATGTGTAGAATTAGCGAGGAGATTTATGATAGTAAATTAAGACGTTTTTTTCCAAGATATAGACTGCGCATATCATATATTCGACTTGAAATATGTTTATGATATTTTCGATCATAATAATAAAATCGAATTCAAAAGTTTTTTAAATGGGGGAAATGTAGCACCTTAAAGAGGAGATTTAATAATTTCGGCTAAAAGTAAAAATTAACCTTATGGGCATGTTTCTGTTGTAGTCAGATGTAATATAGAAGAAAAGTATGTGGATATTATTGAATAAAATTATGATGATTTTCATACTGAAGAGAGAGATTATACTAGGAGATTAGTTTTTGAAGTTATTGAAGGGGGAAGATATTATTTATATAACAAAAGTGTAGGAAAAGAATATTCGAAAGTTAATTAAAATATAGATTAAGAAGATTCAGATGAAGAAGGGGTTATTGGATGGAAAAGAGTGGACAAACCTTTGAAGTTTATGAATTGATTTTTTTTTTTTTTGTATATTTTTTAAATTTAATTCAATTATATTGATTTATATATTAAAGTAGGATTTAATATTTGAATGTTATATATTTTTAAAAAATATTATATATATATATTTTTTTAATAATATAGATTTTATTATAATTAATATATTTTATATATAACTTTAAATTATATAATTTAATAATTTTTTTTTTTTTTTTATTAAAAAATCTATTTTATTATTAATAATTAACGATAAAATAAATATATATATGTATTATTAATTTTTAAATTATTTTTATTTTTATTTTTTTTAAAAAAAAATATTTATATATTATATAAAATAAAATTAAATATATTATTTATAATATTAAATGTAATAAAAAAAAATAGATCAAAAAAAAAAAAAAAACAACGTAAGAATCTTTTTAAAACTAAAATATAATAAAAATTTCATTTTTATTTAGCCTTATCAACTTTTTCATATAATTATTCAACCAAATAATTAAAAACCTCAAGTTTAGTAGCTTCTTAAATATCATACAAATCAGGCCAGCAATTAATTTCAAGAACAACAAGCCCATGCTTTTTAGAATCTAATACATCTACTCCAGCAATCAAAATATTATCTTCTATCGCATGAACTGCATTTTCCGCAATATTATAATATTCTTTTAACCTAGGATCTTACATTTTAGAAACTAGTTTAAAGTTTTCATGATAACTAACATTAGATCTAAAATCTTAAGACAAATCTTAATATTCAGCACAGGCGTACCCTTTACCATTAATAACCAATACTCTAATAGATTTTCCCCAAGTATCATCTATAAATTCTTGGGATAAGGTAGCTTTATTATCCCATTGAATTTTAGAAACAGTCGTAACTCCTTCATCTGGGTGTTTTGATAATTTAACGCCGTCTCCACCATAATCAGAAAGGGTTTTAATAACTGAATTTTTGGTGAAGTTTTATTTATACATTTATTTAACGGCATCTATGTAAAAACCACAAAATGTCTTAGGAATAGGAACTCCTGCATGTGCAAATGCATTTGCTTAAAGTAATTTATTTTCTAAAATTTATATAACTCTAAAACTATGAAAAACTATTTTATTTGCTGCTTCTACTGAATTTATTATATATTGGTAATATTCTTTATTTTATTGTCTCATGTAACCATAAGAATAAAAAGCGTCAAAATCTAATAGTTTGCCGTTGTTAAAGAATTTTATCTTATTAGTTTCTAATTGTATGTAAAGGCTGTGAAGATGTATTTAAATTACTTTCGCTCCTTTAATTACGAGAAGTTAGATTATTTTATAATCTAACTCGTTATAAAAAATTGGGTCAGGATTTAATAAAAAGGCAATCTTTACGTCATTTAACATTTTTTTTAAAGAAATAATTTATTATTTTATACTATTATTTTTTTATTTTTTATAATAATGTATAATTTAATTATTTAATTAAAAATAAAATCTAATTAATAAATTTTTAAAACTTGTAAAAATTAAAACCTTATTTTATAAGTATCATGTTTATTTATTTATTTAAAAAAAAAAAAAAAATACATAAATATAAAATATATAATATTAGTTATAATAATAAAGATATTATATAATATTTTCATAAAAAAAAATAAAAATATTATATATTAATTTTCTTCATATTAAAGGAAAAAATAAAAAATAATTTAAAAATATTATTTTTATATTTATACAAATTAAATTTTTTAAATAAATATGTATATAAATATATAAAATATATATTATTTTTTATTATTATTAAATATTATAAAAATTTACCATAATTGAACGAAGAAAAAGATTTTAATTTATTGTAAATATTAATATAAAATAATTTAAAAATTTATTTTATAAATAAGATATCTTTAAACATAAAATATTATATATTTATTATTTATTAAAAAAATTATGATAATTAAAATAATTTACATTTTATTAGTTTTATTGTAATTATTATTATTATTATTATTATTATTATTATTATTATTTTATTGATATTATTTTTTTTTTTATAAATATATATTTTTTATATTATTATTACTATTTTTAATTTTTTTTTTATTTTTTTTTATTTATATATTTTTATTTTTTTTATCATTTATATATTATTACATCTTTAATTAGTTTTTTAATATTTTTATTGGCATTATAAACTATAACATAAATTTTATTTTATTTTTATATAACTAATATCTTTAGAAAATTTTTATTTTTTTATAAATATAAATTAATAAATATTATATTTTTTAAATTTTAAGTTTTATTTATATTTATTTAAAAATATAATTATTAAATTTTTAATTAAAATTTTTATTTATAATTTTTATTTCTAATATTTTTTTTTATAATATTTCTTATCTTTATTAATTTATTATATTAAAAAATTTTTAAAATATAATTATTTTTATTTTTAGTTTAATTATATAACTTTTATTTATTATAAATATATGTTTTAAATTCAAATATATTATATATCTATAATATCAAACATATATTATATATTGAAATATAAAAAAATTTATGATAAATCTTTAATTATAAATATATAATATAAATTGAAATATAAAAAATATAAGATATAACTATTATTCATATATAATATAAATAAATATGAAAATTATATTCTAAATTATTTAAAATTATAATATATAAGAAATACCTACTATTATAATATCTACTCCTTAATAAAAGTATTTATTTAATGTCCCTGAAAAATTCTAACGTTTTCTCAAATAAAATAACATAAAACTAACACAAAGATAAAACATATTCCTTACTAGGTTAAAAACATAGACAATATCAGGTCTTTTGGGTCTTTTATTGACTATTTTTGAGACCAAGTCCGCCTTTGATTGCAAAATATATGGTCCAAACAATACAGTAAATTTTTTCAATAATATCAGATTTTAGATGGGATTTAAGATTCTTCCTTATAGTTTTTATGATTTTTAATAAAAAAGATGCTTATATGGTTTTAGAAAGAATTAGACTATAAACGAGTTAATAAAAAGGGAGGATTATATGACTATTTTTTATAAAATGAACGAGTTTATAGAATAAAATTTTAAGGAAAAAAACTAGATTGAAACTGAAATAAATAATGCTTAAAATTCGATTAATAATGAAGGTTTTTTCTAAGATGAAAATTTAAAGATTTTACCAGTTTTTTTAAAGGAAAATATAATTTCTTATATAGTTATTAGTAACAAAGTTGCCTAAAAATTAAATAATGAAAAATTAAAGGAATTTTAAATTAAAGGAAGCAATGTAAAAGTACTTATGAATGAAGGATTTATTGTAAATTAATAGGGAAGGACTGTTTTTTTAAATGAAGTTTAAGAAGAATAGATACCTTAGTAAGTTTTATTTATAATAGACTGCTTATATGAACAAAATATACAATAAATTATTAATAATGAGATTTTTATTTAGTTTTTTGAGAAAAATATTAATAAAAAATCATATAATGTAGCCTGTATTTTACACTTAAGTCCTTTTAATATTGTTTAAAATTAAAATTATTAAGATTTCTTTGCTCAATTTGGAGATTAGTGCTAACATATATTTACTTAAGAAGAATTCAAAGAAAATTTAATTAGTGAAGATCTGGAAGCTATTTCTAATAATTTTAAACATTTTAAATTTATTTAAAATCTTCATTCTTATTTTCCTGAGCATTTTCCAAATTTAAAAGATAAATAAAATCCTTTTAATGAAGTTAAATTATATATATATATATATATATATATATATATATATATATATATATATATATTTAAATATATTAATATTTCATTTAGAATTAAATAGATGTTAAAGAATTTTTCAAAAAATATAAAAATGTGTGTATTAATCGAAAGTTTTTTTCGTATAATTTAATACCTGCTTAAACTTAGGGTTTTGTGAAAAACCCGAATCTAAAAATCTAGGAATTAGATATCTAAAATGATGAATTTCTTAAAAAAATATAGTAATATGAAAATTCATATAAACCAAGTTAAATAAATATCCAAAATTTACAAAAAATCGACTTTTCTATTTATAATCCGGAACTAGTTTTTCTAGGCACAGGTTCTATGGTCCCTAATAACTATAGAAATGTAAGTTCTATATATATAAGGAATCCAAAAAATAATACAGGGATAATACTAGATTGTGGTGAGGGGACTTATTATTAGCTTTTGAATTAATACGGAAAGGATTTTTTATAAAATGAAGTTTTGGGCAATTTAAGGGTTGTTTTTATTACTCATATACATTCTGATCATCATTTAGGGTTACTTAATTTATTAGTTTAGAGGAAAAAATGGTCTAAAAAGGATTTATTTTTAATTGTACCGTATAATATGGCGGCTTGGATACATAATTATATATAATATATAGACGATTTAGACTGTAAAATTATTTTTAATTAACAAATTTCCGATGATAGTGATTTTGATAAAAATATTAAATAATAAATAAATTAAGGGACTATGAGTAAGGAAAACTTAGATCATTATGAACATCCCGACGAATAACAAATAGTTTTAAATTTTTTAAAAAAAAGAAAAGAAGATCTGTAACTATTTAAATAATTCCTTTTAGTAGAAAATATAAAAGAATTTAAAGCGGTAAAAGTGGATCATTGTCCTTAATCTTATGGAGTAATACTCTAACATTAAAATAATGTGAAAATCTGCTATTCAGGTGATTGTAGACCTTCGGAGAAATTCATAAAAGCATCAAATGAGGCAACTATATTTATACATGAAGCTACTTTTAATGATGATTTACAAGAATAGGCTAAAGCGAAAAAGCACTCGACTATTAAAGAAGCTACTTTAAGTGCAATTAAAAGTAAGGCCTGGAGGTTAGTCTTGACCCATTTTTCTTAAAGATATTCCAAATAGGTTGTAGGGGGTATTGAGAAGGGGGAAAATGATGATTATTCTATTTATTTATAAAATAATACTGTTTTCGCATTTGATCATTTATATGGATTATGTAGTTAGTTTGAAAATTTGACATATAAAAGTTTAATTAGTTAAGAATTATTCATGTAAAATAATGAGGAACAATAAGGGTAAAATGAATAGTGAATATTATAACTAAGATATAAAAAATATAAATATATAAATATATATATATATATAATTTATATATATATATATATATATATATATATATATATACATATATAATATTTAGATTATTTTAATTATAACATTTATTTGTATATTATTTATTTGTACTTTTTTATTTTTAGTTTTATATTTTTAAAATTTAAAGTTTTATTAAAAGTAATAAAAAAGATAATCTTTTTTATTTTTTAAAAGAAAATATAATATAAAAAGAAATTGAGCAAAATTTATATATTCATATATAAAATAATAAATTTTTTTTCAATTAAATCAATAATTTTAACATTTTTTTTTAAAAAAAAATATAAAGTAAGTTAATTATTTTTTTAAAAAATGTAAAATAAATAAATTTAAAGAAAATCTATAACAACATCAACCTCCGCAAAAGACAATATACAAGGAAAGCTTCTTGGAACAAATTTAAAAGAAATAAACATCGAAAAATTCCGAGAATAAAAATACTTGGCTCCATATTATAAACTAAATGGAAAATTAAATGAATAAATCCTAAAGACAATATCAAATAAATTCAGTTTAGATTTAATATTTAATTTAGATTTATAAAATTAATAATTAACTAGTATTGATGCTTTAGGAGAATGTAGAAATTTGATTTTTTTGAATATTTCGAAAAATTAAATTAAGGATTTCTTTGCAATTTAGCATTGTAATTCTCTGTAATTTTTAAATGCTTCAAATAATTAAATAATTGATTGTGAATATTTAAAAGTATTTATATTTATATTTATATTTAATATATTAAAAATATAAAGAACTTAAAACTGTTAAATAATTTAATTCTGATAGAAAACAAAATAAAGGATTTTAGAAGTATAAAAGGACTTTAAAATTGTGAAAATCTACATGCTTTGTATTTTTAAACATTATAAGGTACTGAATAAAACCCTATCTGTAATGAAAAAAATTACAGAGAGTAAGTTTTTTAGATTGTTCCTAAATTAAAAAGGTTAGATGGAATTCATAAATAAATTAATTTAAATAATGGAGAAAATATAATAAATAATGAAAATAAAATTAATAAAGATTAATTGACTTTTATATCTGAAGGAAAATATTATACTGATTAATATCCTTCTGTTTTTTTCGAAAAAGACTTATAAGATGAAGAAGAACTTAAAAATATTTTAAATTAAAATAAATAAAGTATATCTAATTTAGAAGCTAAATTAAATGCATTAAATATATGAAATTAAATAAAATAAAATATATATATATAGGAATATTTCTTAAAAAAATAAAAAATATTATATATATATTTATATATGATTTAAAAAAAAAAATTATTATTTTTAAAAAATATTATTTATTATATTATATTTAAAAAAAAAAAAAAAAGAAACCTTATTTATTCAATTTTATACTTAATCTTAAAATTAAAATTATAAAAAGGATAAATTTTAATATGTTTAAAGCGCTTTTTATATTACACTATCATTATTTTGTACAAATTCTTAATCTAGAACAAAAAAAAGCATTTTTTTAGTTTAAACAATAATATTGTATAAAAACTAATAATGATTTGAGTGTTTTTTTTCGATTTCATTATCAAAAAATTCAAGTAGATTAGCCAAAAGTTAAAAATTAAGCAAAACAAGTTCAAATGCATTAAAAAGATTCACTTTTTTTTCATTAAAAGATTTTACATATTAAATAATTTATTAAAAATGTTCTTCTGTTAATCTTTATAAAATTAAAAAATCTTCTTCATCTTCTGAATCTTTTAAAGCCTTCATTTATGAATACATCCCATTTTTTAATGCTAAAAGAAGGTTTTTTAGTATATTTTCCATATTATTATTGTCTATATTTTCTGCTTGACCTTTAGAATCGAAGAAAAATTCCGAATCTAATTTATTTATTTAAAAATCAAAATTTTTTAAACAGTCTAATATTTATTAATTGTTAAAATTTTTGTTATTTTTAATTAATTCTTCCATTTAAATTTCTATTTGATCTTAAAGTTCTCTTATTTTAATTTTAATGGGTACATTAAGAATCTTTCCGATTTCTTTTAATACGTAATAGTACTTTTCGGTATTATTTTAAAGAACTTCAATATAAGTTTTTATCATTTATATATCAGAATTATAATCTATTTTAATTTAATCGTCTAATCTCTAAAATACTTAAAAACCATCACCATTATCTAAAATAACCAAAAGTTATACATTTTTAATCATAAATTCTTGTATTTTTCTATGTAAATCTACAAAAATTTCATTTAGAATTTCTTCTATGACTAATCCTTTTAATTTTTCGTATAAACTTTTGAATTTTTAGAAATTTATTTAAAGACTTTATTCATTTATTTACAAAGCCTAATTAAATGAAAATTATAGGATTTTTTTTAAGTTTAAAATATAGGTTTTTAGTTATTATATTAAATCATCAAAAAAAGGTGTTTGTCTGACGTTTTAATTAATTTCAAGGAAAGATTCCGCCAGGTATTTCAGTTAAAAGTACTCTTTTAAGTATTATACAATATCTTCGTATGAAAAGCTTAATGGATTTTCCTATATAAATTAAACTTTAGTATCTAGTTTTTATACTAGGTCTAAAATAAGCTTAAAATTGTTAAAATTTTACCTAACTTCAGTTATTTCCTACTTTATTTCGTCTATATACTCATTATTTATCTATAAAACGTTAATCATAGCCTTTTATCTGGCTATTTTCATCTAAAAATCAGGCAGGAACGTATCAGGAACTTCTATGAGATTTTCTTCTGCTAATGCATTGAATTTTTTGAAAATTTGATATTAATCATTTTTTATTATTGGGTCTCCTATTTTTTTATCTTCTTCTTTTTTTTTTCGTTTCCAGGGTTTATAGGCGTATTATTTGGTTTGTCTTCTGATTCTTTGGGGTTTTATACTTATACATCTAATAAACGAGTATCAACTTCTGTATTTTCAGTTTATTTTTCTTCTATTTTTTTGAGGTGTTTTTCTTGTTTTTTTTGGTCTTTTTAGTCTATATTGTTTTGATTTTCTTCTGTTTTTTATTCTTCAGTTTTATTTTCTTGTTATTGTTTTTTTTATTCTTCTTCTTATATTTTTTTCTTTTATTTTTCTTCCTTCCTTTTACGTTTTTCTTCGTCTAATTTTTTTTTCGGCCTTCTTTTTCTCTTTTTATTTTCAGTTCTTCTCTTTTTTGGTTTTCTTAGATCTTTTTTATATTTTCAAAACCTAATAAACTGTCCAAAGTAAGCTTTTGCCTTTCAAATTATTTTATTTGATTTTCGATTTTATGTTTAAATGCTTCAAATGATAAATTGTTTTAACAAGTTTTTTCGAATTCAAAAATTAATCTTTCCATTTATATTTTTTTTTGTTAATATATTTATATATATATTTTTTAAATATTAAATATATTTACGATTTTTTTTTTATTATATATTAATATTTTATTATAATTATTTTATTTAAATCTATTTTTTTTTTTTTTTAATAAATAAAAAAATTTATAAATCATATACTAATTTTTATAAATAAAAATACCTCTATATAAAGAAATAATTTTATTAATGATTTAAAATTTATAGACATACAAAAATATCATATATCAATAATTTAAATCATTAAATAAATCAATATTTAACAAAAATAATCAAATCGGAATTTTTTTATGGAATTATGTACTAACCATAATATTTCAAAATGCAATAAATAATAAAAAGTATGAAATATAAAATATTGTCATTAAATAAACCCGTTTTTGCTTGAAACAGGTACTTATTTTATCAAATTAAGTTATTTTTATCTATGAGAATTTTCATTCTGATAATTAGTTTATTTATTTCATTTAGGAAGGTATGTGAAGAATTAGGGTGATATAAATGTAACAAAAAGATTAAGTAATAATTATTTTTTTGGAGAAATTTCTTTTTTTTTATTTTTATCGACTAAAGAGAAAGGTGAGTACTAAGAAATATAAATTTATATATAATTAAAAAAGCCAACTTTTTATAAACAATAAAATAAAATTAAGAAAATCAATAAATAATATAAAAGATTCAAGAAAAAACACTTTTTTAAAATATTATAAAAAAAAAAAATATTCGTTTGATAATATTTATCCAAAAAAACGAAAGCATTATGATAAAAGATAATTATTATAAAACTTATTTTCACAGTCTAGTGATATAGAGATTTAAATTAAAGAAGATGAAAAAATAAGCAATATTTTTTCGTTAAATTAGAAATTATTAATCGTTTTTTATTTTCTTTATAATTTTTTTATAAATTTATTTTTATATTTATTATATATTATTTTTATAATATTAGATTTTTATTTTTTAAATAAATATAATAAGTAATAAAAAAATTAAAATATATTTAAATAAAAAAAAAGATAAAATGTAGTAAATTGTTTAATGCGTAGAACAAATTTATAAATAATAAATTTTTTTGAAAAAAATAATAATAAAAAGTATTAAGTAATAAAATATTTAAATAATTTATAATTGCTAATACATAATAAAAAATTATAAATATTGATAAACTTTTAAATATAAATATATATATAAATATAAAGTTATATAATTTTTATTTATTTTCTATATATATTTTATTAGTCTTTTTAAATTAATAATATTAAATAAAATATTAAAAATCAATTATTAAATATTAAATAATTAAAATATAATTCAAAGTTTTTTAATTTAACTGTAAAAATTTAATATTTAATATTATAAAAATAAAAATAAAAACATAATTATATAATTAATAGATTTACTAAAAATAATATTTATATAATTAAATATTCACAAATTTATTACATTCTGAAAATATTCTTTGTATTTTTCTACAAAATTATATTAAGGGTATTTTTATAATAATTTTTACGAAAAAATAATTTTATCGTCTTTAAATATTTTCTTTTCAAATAAAATTTTTACTTTTTACAATAAATTATATTCATTTAATAATTGATTAAAATCAAACATATTGTATTCCATATTAATAAAATTATTTGAATTATTCAATATATTACTATATTAATTTTTAGTTGATAAATTATTATCTTATATTATTTAATTTTTATTTTAATTTTCAGCTTATAAATTTTCATTATTCTTTTCAATTTATATAATTTAGTTATTAATTTTGTTTTAAATTTTTTAATTTTATTCATAATTTATATCTTCTTCATCTGAAATTTCTATTAATTCATTTTAATTTTCTTAAATTATATTTTATTCTTTAATAATATTCTTTTCTTATATTATTTATTAGAAATTATTTTATTATAATTCTAATTAATTATTAATTATTTTTTTGGTATCAATTTATACTCTATCTATATTAATTATATTAGATTTATTTATATTTATTTATTCTTCATATATGGCTATTCTTTTATTATTCATTTGTTAATTATTATAAGCAGTATTTATTTTATTTATTAATGTGTTTGTACTTTAATATTTTGAATTGTTTTCTTAAGAAGTATTAGAATTATTTAAATTCTCATCATCTTCACTCATTTCAATATATTTCCTTTTAAATTCGTTTTTCTATTAATTTTTCATATATAAATATTTAAAAATAAAAATATAAATACTTTTGATTATTCATTTTATATTAATTTAGGCTATTTGAAAGGCATTTTTAACTTATTACTTACCATCATATTAAATAACATTTTTTATTCTTATTAAAAATTATTGTTTTCTAATGGTTCAGAAACTACACTTGATTCTAGTAAAAACGAATTATTTGTTTAATTACTTTTTTAAGAAGAAGTTTACATTTTTATGAAATTTTTTAAAGATTGTTATTACATTTTTTCTAAAAACATATATATATATATATAATATAATTTCTACATTTTTTAAATATTACATTATTTAGGATTTTATAAAGAAACACATTTATTATTTTATTATTTCATCTAATTTTATTTAGATGTTACCTCATATTTTGCTAAATTAGAATTTTATGATGTAATATAAGGTTATAAAGTATCCGGATCAATATCACATTAAGCAATTTTTAAGGCAGTTTCATCATCAATGCTAAAAACAAATATTATAATATAATTAAAAAATATATAAATTATAAATACTTGCTTAGAAAATCCCATGAGAAATCTTCTTTGATGATTTTTTAAATTAAAGATAAAGGTAAAATATTTTATTCAAAATAATCATCATCTTAAACATTATAATATATATTGTCTTAAGGATATATACTTCTTAATTTTTAAATATCGATTTCATTCAAATTTACTATCTTTTTTTATAATGGACAATAAACTTTTTAAAAACGAAAAGTTAAAAATGAATATTCAAATTTTTCTTCATAATCTTAATTAAATTCAAAACCTTTATATTTTAATCCGAGAATACATTTCTTATATTATTTATATTCACCAATATATTTAAATGATGTACATATACCCATCTTAAATAAATATATATATATATATATATATATATATATTATATATTATATATTTATATAGTTATATATTAATATTATTATACTATTTTATATTTTATATCTTTTTATATTTATTTTATATATAAGTTACTTTTTTTATTGATTCTAAATAATCACATCCTGATAATATACAAGCTGATAAAAACATATTTTAATTCCAATTTGAAAGATTTATTTCTCTACAATTTTATAAATCATTTAAATCTATTTAATCTCCTGTGTATTTTTAATCTCCTTTAAATAACTAAATAAAAGTTTTACTTTTATTTATATTAAAAATAAATAACTATATAATTTACTTTAAACAATACTTTTTTACAGCCAAATGCTAATAAATCTGAATCTTCACTTACTACTAAATCTACATAATTTGTTTTACTTAAATATGCTAATTAAGCATCTGCCTCAAATGGGCTTACAATGCATTCTACATCTTATCGACCTTCAAATACCTTTTATTTATATATTTTTTTATAAAATATATTTTAATATATTGTTTATTTATATTTACTTTTATTAAATCATATGCCATTTAAGCTGTAACATCAACTGAACTTGCGAATTTTTTAAAAGCTTATTCTTTTTTACCTTCTTCCATAAGTTTTAAAGCTTCTTATCTAGCTTCTTCTCTATTCCTAAAAATTCAATAATAATATAATATATATATTATAAATTTGTATTTATATTATTTTATAATAGATATTTTTTTCTATAAAATACGTTTTTCTTATTTATTCAGTTTGTTCTTTAGAAGGAAGTTTATGTCCATCAAAAACTAGAACAATTTTCTTAATTCCAAAACTTAAAATATCTTCAATTCTTTTAATACAAAATTCTATATGTCTATTTTTTTTAATTTAATGTAGAGATATATAGAATTATTTACTTTTTTGTGGGCTTATCCATTGCTAAATCAATAGCACATGTATATATTGCAGGATGAAGCCTTTAAAAATATAAACTTTTTTTTAAAAAATATAAAACCATGTATATGTATCTATAGCTATTGTTTGTCCTTTGTATTCTTTAATATGTTTTTGCACTATTATTGATTTTAAAAATTTTAATAATTAAGGAATTCCCATTTTAAGATAAAAAAATTTAAAATAATATATATGTATAAATATATATTGAATTATTTATATAAATATATAATAATATAAAAATATATATTGATATATTTATATAAAAATATTAATATATATTGATTTTATATATATTATTAAATATATATATTATATACATAAATTTATTTTTATATATATATTTGTATCTTCATACATATTTATTTTAATAGAGGCGGGTTTATTTAAATATATTTTTTATTTTATTTCTTTTTAAGTAAATTATAGTAAATATAAATTTAATAATAATATTATATATAATTTTTTTTTTTGTTGAAAAATAATTTTTTTCTTATTTTATAATTTTTATTTTTTTAATACTTAATCTAAAACAGATTAAAGATAATTAAACATTTTTATATTTCTTTTTTTAATAAGTTTTAAAATAAAATAATCCAAAAAAATAAAAAAACTTTATAAAATATATTATATAAAAATAAATTTATTTTATTTAATTATATTATATTATATTATATTAATTTTTATTTTGCTTTTTTTGTATATTAAATATTAATATATAAATAATTTTATATTTCTATAAATAAAAATATAGACAATTTAAAATTTTATATATCTTCTTTAAGATAATTTTTTTATATATATTAAAATCTTTATTTTTTCTTATTATATCTAATTAAAAAAAAATATATATATTCGATTATTATAAAATAATATTTCTTACTAGATGTTTTTTCAAAACAATTGAAAGGTTTTTTTTTATATATTATATAAATTATAAATTAATATAAAAACTACTAAAATCATAAAATAAAACATTAATATATTTTTTAATTTTATTTATGCCATTTTAAAAATATTTTTTATATAAATTTTTAATTTATTACTTAATAATCTACATATTATAATTTTTTTTAAAAATATTATTATAATAATTCATTGTTGTTTATATTTACAATTTAAAATTTAATATATCATAAATTAGTGTAAATTATGAATTAAATATTATTATGAAGCTTTTAAATAATAATTAAATTAACATTAATAATTTAAAATATAAGTTTTTTATATTGTTCTTTAATACAATAAAATTGGCTTAAAACTAATAAAATTAATTATATCTTTATTATTTTTTATATAAATTATTGCAAAAAGTCTTATTTAAATTATAATTCTTTTGTTTTTAGTTTATTATTATTTTAATCTTATTTTAAAAAATATTTGGTTAAATTAAATACTTATTTATATAATTAATGTTCGAAAAACTTGTTCTTTGGGGTTAAATAATTTTATTATTTAATTTAATTTTATATTATATTGTATTGTATTATTATATGGTTTATTTTTTAAATTTATTGATTTAAATAGAAATTTATTTTAAAATAGTTTATTTCTTAAATATTTAATAAATCTAATTAATATTACTCTTAATTTGAAACATAAAATATTGTATTTTATCATTTAATTACAAAATTTTATATATGCAAGCTAATTTTAATAGAAAACTTTTTTTTTTGTATTTTATAAATAATTTATGAATGTTTATTTTTTTAAACTAAAAAATATAAAATAATACATTGAATTTTGGGATAATATATTTTTATAGAATAATAAAAATATATATATTTTAATAATAAAATAATAATATATTTAATTATTTAAAATAAGAAAAATATATAATTAAAATAATAATAATATTTTTACTTTTTAATAAATAAAAATTAAAATTTTTGTTTCATTATGCATATTCTGTAATTTTTAAGATAATTATTGTATTTTTTTATCAGGATTTACTTTTTTACTTAAATTTCATATTTAAAAAATATATATATATAATAAAACTTAAAAACAAAAAAAATAATTAAATTATAAAAATATATTTCATTAGTCAATATATAAAAAACTTTAAAAACAAAATAAAAGAAATTAAATTAAATTATAAAAAATATATTTCATTAGTCTATATATAAAAATATTTATTAAAAAAAAAATTACTTTATTATATTGTAAAAATAAAAACATTCATAAAAATAAAACTAAAAATATTTTTATTTTCTAATAAATAAAAAATGCTTGAAGCAGTAGAAATAGGTGAATTTTTTGATGATTTAAATGAAAATTAAAAATATTAATTGAGGGTTCCTATTTACAGAAACAATAAATAATATATAACTGAATTAGAAAACAGTGTAAATTATTTTATGAATTAAGTAGGTTAATATAATTATATAACCTCCGATTAAATGGAAATTGTTATGCCTCGTTATATAAAGCCAGAAAAAAGAAAAATAATAAACCGATCTAAAGTATAATAAGAGAAAATCTAAAAGCAAGTCGAATAATTAAAAAAGGAAGAATAATTATATGGAAAATAAAAATTTAAGTTTGAAAATTCTTAAGAAGTGGTTGAAAAAAAAAAGATTATTAATATATTTAAACAAAAGATTATAAAAATTACAAATATTAATATTAGCCTTAACCCTAATCAAAATATGAATAAAATTTAATGCAAAGAAAATTAAGAAATAATTCAATTTTTTAGTCAAAAAGTGGGTCTTAAAATTAACTCAATAATAGTTTTATTATATAGCCTTAGGAGAGCCTTTTTAAGGAAAAATCTTAGGAAACTTAGAAGAATTATAGCGTCTGGGAGAATAAGCGATAGAGCATTATAAGAAAAAATAACCTAAAACATGAATCTTTAAGTATATTATAAAGTAATTAATAAAATAATAATAATTTAGAAGAATATAATTCTATTGTAAATTAAAATAATAACTATATTAAAGAAACTTTGTCTAATTTTCTAACTAATTCCAACAATATAAAGTTATCGAACAATTAAATTTTCAAAGAATTTATTTAGTTGGCTAATTAATCTAGTGATGTTATAAAATACTAAAATTAAAATAAAAAACCAAATACATTAAAGGAAGAAAGTAATGCAATTAATATAAAATTATATAAATTAAGATAAAATAATGGTAACAAAAATAAAAATATATTTATTTTATATATAAAAATTTAATAGAAAAATTTGTACTGTTTAAAGTTTTTAAAAACTAATTTACTTAGTTTTTATTAAAAAATAAAGGAGAAATTACTACAAGAGTACTTTTAGCTCTAAAAATTAATCCACATGAAGATTACTTTAAAATAAACTGGGATTAGTTTCATTAATTTAATAAGATATTTATTGAAAAAAATGTTAGCATTATTGAAAGTTCAAATTTTATAGTTAATGTAATTATTTATATTTTTATTTCATCTTATTTAATTACTATTGTTACTTTTTATTATATTTTAAATATTTATATTAAATTATATTTATTATTAAATTATGTATTTTTATTTTATTTTTATAAAATTATAATTATTAATGCATTTTTTTAAGTTTTTTAGTATACATTAATAAAAAGATATGAAAAAACTGAATTTTTAGCTGTATTAAGAAGTGTCACTAATAAATTCGATTAAATTTTAAATTTAAAGAAAAAAAAATTAATGTTTGATTGCCTGTAAGAAAATATGTGTTTGCTAAATTTATTGAAAGAAGACATTGACATTGTTAATCTTAGCGAATTAAGGGCTTTATTATTATCTTACAAATTAGATTATAAAATGTTTATAAATTTAATATTAGAAAATCCATAATGAAAAAAATAAAATATTTTATAACTAGAGTAGATTATATATATAAATATATAAATATATAAATATATAAATATAAATATATATATATATATATATATATAAATATAAATTATTATATATAATAAAAAAAAAAAATTGATGTTTACAAAATGCTGTTTTTATGTGGAAAAATTAATTAAATAAAAACATGAAAAAAACATAAATCTAATTTATAAAAATAATTTTTTATTTATCTATATTAGTTTTTAAAATGCTATTTATTCTTTGCATTTTAATATATAGAAATTTCTTATTTTTATAATTAGAATTTAATTTATATTAAGATTAAAATAATATATAAAAAAAAAAAAATTGTATTTAATTTGAAAAAAAGAGAAAATTTTTTCGAATTTTCGTAAAATAAAACTATCTGTTTTTCATTACTTTTCATTATTTTTATTTTTATTTGATTATTTATCTTCTTTATTAATAGTTTTTTTTTCTTAATTTAAATTATTTTATTTATTTTAATTGTATTCATTTTTTTTTTATATACTTCCTCCTCCTTATTTACTTTTTTACTTTTTATAATTTATTTTAGGATTATTTTATTATTATTTTATTTACTATTAATTATTTTTATAATCTTCATTCATACATTATATATTTTCTTTTAATTTATTTATTTTATTAAAATATAATTAAAACTTTTTTAATATTTTTTTTTACATTCAATTTTGGTTTCACTATTTGATCTTCTTTGTTCTTAATTTTAATTATCATCTTTTTGCATATTATTTTTTTTGTTTAAATTTTTTTATTTATTTTCTTCTATTTAATTTTATTGTAAAAAATTATTATTAAACTCAATATATTAATTAGCTTTATATTCTTTTGTTTTTTATTAGAGTGTATATTCTTAGAAAGAATTGTATTTTTTTTAATTATTATTATTATTATTACTGTTATTTGTATTATTATTAGATATTTCTTAAAAATATTAATTTTTTTTATTTTATTATAAGAATAAATATTAATTATCAAATTATTAATTTAATTAATTTTTTTGACTCTAAATTGATTATTATTATTTTTAACTTAATTCTTTAATATATGTAGAATTTTAACTTCCTATTTTAAATTCTTTTTTGTTTAAAAATTAAATATTGAATATTTATTTTTATTTACTTTAAAAATCTTCTTTCAATTATTTATTTTCTTATGTTTTTTTTTTTCTGTAATCTATTCAGTAAAATTAAACTGTTAATTTATAAAAGGATGTTATATCGCTTAGGAAGCTTTAATTCTTTTTTATGGATCGAATTCTAAAAGCTAACTTATCAAATTTAAAAATAAACTGAATTATTTTTAATTATATTAATCATCTATTTTTAAAAAAATATTATAATTTTGTTTATATTGAAATACCTTCATTTCTTCTTTATAAAGAACTATTAATGTAAAATTTTAAATCTGAAAGCGAATTTATTTGGAAGTATTTTTTTCCTTCTTTTATATGTACATTTTCACTTTTCATAAATTATTCTTTATTTTTTAATTTAAACGTATTCTATTCGGATTCAAAATATTTATTTCTAAATCTGGCTTATTCAATTATATTATTAGGAGGAATTCTTTTTTTTAAAATATCTAAATATATATTAAAAAAATTAAAATATATATAAACCCAAGAACATCCACAATTCTTTTAATTTAATCATATTCACAATTGCCAGGAAAAATCGGTAAACCCAAAAACAATTCAGCCAAAATACAACCCAAAGACCACATATCAATAGAAATCGTATATTTGATTCCCAAAAGGATTTCTGGAGCTCTATAAAATCTACTCTAAATATATGTATAAATTCTATTTTCTTCTTAACACGCAGATCCAAAATCAATAATTTTTAATTCATTATTTCTTAAAATTATTTTATAATATATATATATATTTTTTTTTAAAAAAAGTACTTTTTTATCATTATATTTTCAGGTTTTAAATCACAATGTATGATTTATTTAGATTCTGTAATAATCATTCCTTGTAGAATTTATCGCCCCCATTAAGAAATTTACTCAAATGAAAACCCTTAAAATTTATTGTTTTTAATATTGTCATATAAAGAAAGGTCCAAAATTTCAAAAACTAAACAGAAATGATATTTAAAAATAAAAAAATCTATTAATTTAACTATTTTGTAAGATTCATTTACATTTTATATTTATTTCAATATTTCATTTTCTTATTTATTTAATAGCCTTAGCAATAAAATTTCAGATTTAGCCTATTAAAAATATGCAGGTTTATTTTTTATGACTTTTATTGCAACAACATCATTTTAACCTAATATACTACATCTTACTACTTACCCAAAAGTTCCTTTTCCTAAAAGATCATGTATAACATATTCACTTTATTTTATTTTTTAAAAAAATTATTTTATGTTCTTACGTTTATTTTTATGAATTTATTAATGTATCATTTACTTTCATTATTAGATCTGATTCTATATTATCATTAAAATCATTTTAAAGCCCTTTAAATATAAATTATCTAATATATATATATATATTATATATATTATATATATATATATTTATTTTAATATTAAAAAAACTTTGTTAATGTTTAAAAAATTTATTTAATAATAAAAAAATACCTTCGTTGGGAAAGGTCAAATATCTTCTTGGGATTAATTTTTTATCATATTGAAATTAATTATTGCAATTTTACATTGTATGTAATAAATGAACAGTGCATTTTTTTAAGATCTTTTTTTTTAATAAAAAAATATGTAAACTATATATTTTTATATATGATTTTTATTAATGAATTATTTTGCTTTTTATAAAATCACTAATATTTATTTATTCATATTTTTTTTACATTATGTGCTTTAAAGTTTTTTATATATATATTCTGATTATTATTTATTATTTTCATAAATTTTAAATGCAGTATTGCTTGTTTAAAAATCTTTAAGAAAATATTAAAAGCTTTAAAGGATACCAGATTATTGCATAGTTATTTAATTAAATAATTATAAAGATTATGTTTGAATTTAGAAATGTATATATATATATAAAAAAAAATTCTTTTCTTTTCTTTTTTCCTTTAATTTTTTCTATTATTTAGTTTTTTTTTTTTAAATATTTACTTATTTTTTTTCTTTATATTTATTTAATATTTATTTTTTAAATTTTTTTTTAATTTTTGTTGTTATTATTTTAATTTCAATATTTATCAGACCATCCTTAGCAAAAATAAAATATTTATTTACTAAAATTTATTTTTTAATTAAATCAAAGAAATAATTAATATTTTATATAGATTATATTTGTTTATATTTTATCAAAATTATATTATATTTTTAAAATTTGTTTTTTTCAATTCTACTTATATATTTAAAAATATTTATTTTTAAATTATTTTAATTTTCTTTTAAATTAAATAAAAAAATTATTTTGATGTTTATGTTTATGTAAAAATAAATAAAATTTATAAATAATATATAATTGAATTTATCTTCAAAATCTTTATAAAAATGTATTTATTTCAACAAATTTTCTTCTTTATTTTTATAAATTTAATAGTAATTAATAAAAAAAATTAATATTTGTATAAAATTTCCAAATAACCAAATTATAAAATATCACCATTCAGCAATCTTATAATTTTAAAGAAAAACCCCAAAATACGGTTTTTCACTCTAAATCCCTTCAAAAACAGGATCCAAAACTCTAAAAGCCCCATCCCATTCGTCTATAGGAATTGTATTATAATAACTCTAATGTAAAAAATTAACTGGCAACATATCATTAGAAGCCCATCCTGCATCAACTGCAGTCATAAAAATATTATAATTTTTAGCCAAATCAACTCCTGATGTTTTTGTGAGCATATTCAAAGCCGCTTTTGACATATTAGTATGTGGATGTATTTTAGATTTATACATTCTGTTAAATTAACCTTCTGGAGATGAGACGTTTACAATGAATTTTTTCTCAGATGTTTTTATCATAGAGTCTTTTAACTATTATATAAGGATAAAAGGAGCCCATGAGTTTATTACTTGAGTTTCCATAAATTCTAATAATGGGACATCTTCGAGTTTATATTACCATGAATTTTAATTAGACAAATCAACTTAAAGTTTATATTAATTTACGATATTGGGAGGGTATATATGTTGTTAATTAGTAATAGTTTCTTATTAAGAAAGTAGAGGATATAATGTCATTAAAGCTGAATTTGTAAAGTTTTTTATTTAAATACTGTTGGAATTATTAATATCTTAAATATTGTTAATATTTTATATATTCACTGAATTACTAGTATCTTAATTTTATTCAAACTACACATATTATTATTATTATTATTATTATTATTATTATTATTATTATTATTATTAATTATATTAAACTACTAATATATTTTATTAAGACCTAATTTAATCTTAAAATTGAATATTTTATGAAAAAATCTACTTTTCATCTTCCTAAAAACTCGCTAATTCCTTTGATTCAATCTCTATTAATTATTAATAATAAGCGTTTTCTCTCTTAACTGATTAAGCTGCATTATTTATTAAGATATCAACTTTTGGCAAACTTTAATTTATAAATTAACAAAACTATAAAACAGATTGTATATTTCGAAAATCTAAAGAATATAAAAAAAGCCTTCCTTTAAATTAATCAAAATCAGGTTCTTTTTTATACCTTTCCAAGGCATCTTTTATAAAACGGGAAGTTGCGTGAACTTCGCATCCGTTTCTTAACAAAACAAGGGAAATGCAAAATCCTATTTTAACTCGAGCTCCAGTAACTATAGCTATTTTTGAATTTAAATTGATTTTTTTTTCTGTTCTTTTACTATAATTAAAATCTCCACAAGTTTTGCATAATGCAAAATAATAAAAGTGGATTTCTTCATATTGTTTTTTACACATATAACATTTTTTTAATATTTTTTATTCTTCTGTTATTTTATTTTCTTCAAGTTTTTTGATATCTTCAATTTGATTTTCGATTTAGACTTTTAAAGAAGATTCTAAATTTTCATATTTTTATAATTACAAAAGGATATCTTTCATTTCTTAGTTTCTTTAATGTCCTAAAACGGTATTGTTATTTAATTGTTTTTTTTTGTTTATTTTTTCCAGTTTGTTTTATTATTTTAATTTTTCGATTTTATATTTCTTTATTATTTTGAAAATTTAAAAGGAAATTTCCATTGCTTGTTCTGGAGTAGAATTTTCGTTTTTATATATTTCTTCTAAGGAATTAATTATTTAAGGTATTTATAAAAGTTTGTGCATGTATTACTATTTTAGATTTTTAGATTTATATTTGAATTTAGGCCATCTTTAACCGAAAAAAGCCCATAATTTACTTTAAAAAGTATTTATTTCGATATTTAATGTTTTTGTTTTTTCGAAATTATAAAGATGTTAGACTAATTCTTGGAAAGTAAAAGAATTCATTTATAATTTAATTATTTTTTTATTTATATTATTATTTTATTTTATTTTAGGATTTTTTTTTTTTTAATTAATTTTTAAATTTTATATAGACAATTTAATGATTTTTATATGCTTAATATTTTACCCATAGCTTTTAGTTAATAAGTATCTATTAATTTTAAATATTTTTTTTTTAATTTTATACTATATAAATTAAATTTCCAATAGACTCTAATTATTTTGTAATATATTTACTATTTTAAAATTTAAAATATTAATTAAATATTGGTTTTTATTTTATTTGTGTTATTTTTATAAAAATATGATTAATTTTAGATTTATAAATAAATAAAAATTACAGATTTTCATATTAATATTTTTAATTACATACTATATATAAATCTTGAAAAAAAATAGTTAAAATTAAAAAAAAGTATATTAAATCAATTAATAATTATTTATAAAGATAATTTAAAAAATTAATTTTTATAATATTAAAATAGTGAATATAAATTTCTGAATAGAGGCATAATAAATTATATGAAAAAAATAAAATTAAAATTTATTTTAAACTAATTCATAAATAAAGAATTTTTTATATTTTTTATAATTTATTTTAAATATATTTTAATAAATTATTTATGTAATTTTTTATAAATAATATATTCAAAGTAAATTTAATAAAAAATAAATATATAAATAATAATGTTTTCTGGCATTCTACAAGTTCTCTAACAGTGCTTAATGTTTACTAAAACGATATCTAAAATAAAAAAAAATTAATTTTTTTAGAATAAGTTCGAAATTAAGTAAGATAGTGTGTAGTTTTTTTTTAAATATTTGACAAAAATTTAAAAAAGAAACATTTATATTGAAAAATTAATTATTAAAAAGGTAAAGTAATAATTTTTTAATTTACTTTAAAATTTTTCATATAAAAAAATATCTTTTAGTTATATATATTTTTTTTATTTAATTAATTAAAATATTATAAATGGTATATAATTAATAAAGAGAATAATTTAATAATAAATTAGAATATGTTGTTTCTATTTTAGGATTTTCCGCAGGATATGGCAGCATATGGCGTTTTCCATATTTAATATTCTAAAATGGAGGGGGTGTATTCTTAATACCTTACCTTATTTTTATTTTTATAATCGGAATACCTGGTTTTTACTTCGAAACTGCCTTAGGATAACTTTTTTAAAAAGGACCTCCTGACTGTTTTTCTTTAGTAGATAAAAAATATAAAGGATTAGGAATTTTTCCGATAATATTAACTTTTTATTTTTGTACATTTTATAATACTTTATTAGCATATTCTTTTATTTTTTACTCCAAAGCTTTATTTACCCTTTGCCCTGGAAAATAAATAAAAATTTAAAATAACCATGGAACAAAGTATCTTTTTATTTTATTTTAAAATATATATTTTAAGGAATATTTTTATAATGAAGTATTATAAATATCCTCTGAAGTTGGAGAAAGCGGAAATATTGTTTACCCTTTATTGATAAGTTATTTTTTTTCATAATTTATAGTGTAATTAAAATATATATTAATTTTTATTTTAAAAATACAAAGATTTCTTTGTATTTAAAAAGGGATAAAAATTTCAGGAAAAATAGCTATTTTTACTGCCATAGGTCCTTTTATTTTTCTCTTTTTATTTTTAGTTCGCGGCTTAATGCTAGATGGCGCATTTATTGGCTTGAAATATTTACTAAAACCCGATTTTTCGAAGCTTTTTACTCTCTAAATATGGATAGATGCAGCTAACTAAGCTATTTGGTAGATAGGTTTAGGGTGCGCTGTTTTAATATATTTTGGTTCGTACAGAAATAGGAAGGATGAACTTAAAAATACATCTTTTTTAGTTCCTTTATTGACTGTTTTGTGTGGATTTTTGAGCGCTTTTACCATTTTTACATATATGGGATATATGTCCAAAATTTCAGGAATTCCAATAGAGGAAATTCCTTTGGCAGGGCCTGATTTGGTTTTTGTCGTTTTTCCTTCTGTTTTTACTTTAATGTCCTTTTCTAATATACTTTCAATATTTTTTTTATAATCATGGTTTTATTAGGAATCGATACTTAATTTGCAAGTGTGGATTGTTTAGCAGGCTTTATTGAGGATGAGTTTTTTGACGGAAAATAAGAGATTTTTTTATTTCGTATAAAAATAAATATGAGGATTATTAGAGGAATTATTAATGTTTTTATAGGACTTTTCGGTTACCTATATTGTTGTTAAGGAGGATTTTATTATATTAATTATATTGATACTTTTTCTTAAAGTATTAATTTATTTTTTGCTGTTTTTATTGAATGTTATTATTTTAGTTGGTATGTATAAAAGGAAGTTTTATATGATTAAATTGAATATTTTTGTGGATAAAAAATGCCTTTAGGTTTTAAATGGTGTATTTAATATTTGATTTGTGGATGTGTTTTTGTACTTTTTATTTTGGCGATTTATTTACAGGTTTTAGATAGCTTTAATTATGGATGGAAGTTGAATTTATTGGGATGGATTTTGACATTTTCACCGTATTTTTTGGTAGGGGTTTTTTATTGGAAGTTTTAAGAAATTGAAAAAAATTTAAGGTTTTTTGATGGTTTTGGATGTTTAGATGAAAATATTGAGCTATAGAAATTACTTTGAATATGATTTTAATTATTTAATAATAATATTTTCATATAAATACAAATGCTATTTAAAATAAATATATGTAAAATATTATAAATTATTAATTTATTAAATTTAAAAATTATATAACATAATTAAATAGAAAATTTATTTTAAATAATTAAAAATACAAATATAATAACTTTAAAAACAATATATATATATAATAAAAATAATTATATATATTTAATTTTTTATATAAATAATTCTTATAAATATATTAAATTTATATCTTAATTATTATTTTTTAATATTATTTTTAGTTTAAATATTTATTTCTATTAATAAATAATTTATTTGGCATATCAATTTTATTTTTTGTTTATATTGAAAAATTAAAATAATAAATAAAAAAAAAAAATTAAATATATTATATAAAGATAAAAGCATATTAATTTTAAAAATAATTAATTTATATTCTTAAGATTATTAAATTCAAATATTTTTTTTTATCATTTCAATATAATATAAAAAATATTAAAATGATATAAACTTTAATATTAAGTTTATATTTTTAAAATACAAATATATGTTTATTGTTTTTTATACATATGTTTAGTTTTATAAAATAATTAATGTCAATTTTATTATATTTTAACTAAGATTTATAATTTTTAAATTTAAAATTATAATTAAAATACTATTTTTGTGAAACATATAATATTAATATTGATATTTAAAAGCTAAAGTTTAAATATTAGTATAATTATCAAATAAAATAACAATATTATATATGAATATATATTCAGTAAATTCATTAATTAACTTATATAAAAAATTATATTTAAAAAAAGAAAATCATATTTAGTTTTTTCTATAAAACTAATTAATTATTGAATTTAAAATATTTTATAAATTTAAAATTCTTTTATTTTGTTTGTATATTTTTATTTTAAAAATATATAAATGAAGTTTAAATAATATTAAATAGTGTATAAATAAAAAAAATATAAAAATTTAAATACAAATTTTATTTATTGCTATACAAAGAGTAGCAGTAAAAGATAAAGTTAAGATTTATTGAATTATATGATTATAGTGTAAAAATATGCTATATAATAATAATGAATATATATTTTATTGCAAATAATTATATAAAAAAATATGAGATATATATATAAAAAAAAATTTCTTAAAAAAATTCAAATTAAAATAAGCAGATATACAATATAATCAAATCATATATATATAGTGTAATAAATTAAAAAAAAAATGGAATGAATTTCATTGAAATATTAATAGATTTATAAATAAAATAAATAAATATATAAAAATAAATTAAAATATATATATATATATATATATATATATTTATAAATATTAATTATTTTATATATATTTATATATTCTTTTTTTTATTTTAATAACTATTGTAAAATTTTTATTTAAACTTACTTTATAAAATTTGATTTTTTTTTTTTTAATATGATATCTTTTAATTTTTTTAAATTTCTTTTATTATTATTTATTTTATTTTTATTCTTTACATTTAATTCATATTTATTTATTTTAGTTATATAGAATAATTATTAAAAATAAATAAAATATATTTACATATTTTAAAAAAAAAATATACAAAAAATATAATATTTAATCATTGAAATAAAAAAAATGAAAATTAAATTAATTTTTTTTTATTCATAATTAAATTTAATTTAATTTAATTAAAATATTAATTTATTTTTACCAAACTATTAACGCAATTTCTATATATAAATTTTGTAAAATAAAAAAATATTTAATTTAAAAATAAATATATTATTATTATTATAAAATATATTTTTCACACATCTGCTATTTTTATAAAAAAGAATTCGATATTTCAAATTAAATGTTATAATAATTTAAACAATATAACTAATTATAAAGTTTTTTTATTATTTTTTAAAATAAAAATTACTTATTCCATTTTTTAAAACATCACATTATTAAAGCAACAATTATAAAAAATAAATAGTTAATAAATTATATTATATTAGAAAACGCTCCACATTATTATTCCGTACATTCAAAAAGTTTCGTATAATTTTCATTTATTTCTTCTTATTCGTATTCTAAATCTTAATTTTATAGTTATTTGAATTCTTTATAACACGTTGGATCCCACAATAAACCTAAATCTTGATTACAATTAATTTATTTTCTACAATAACTTTATTGATTCATTAATTTTTAACATATACTATCTTTTCCACAATTAATATATACTTATTAACATTTAGATTTTAAAATGCAATTTAATACTTCTTTTGTATATGAATCTGCTTGTATACTAATAAATAATAAGAAAAATAAGATAATTTTTTACATATTTTTAAATTAAAAATATAATTAATTATGTAAAAATAACTATATATTTAATAATTTACTTTTACTAATAAATTAAAAAAAAAGAATTTAAATAATCGAATAAAATTTTATTAATTTTAATAATTTATAAATAAAATAATTTTTAATATGAGTATTATTAATCAAAATATTTATTCCGAATAATATCCTATAGATATATAAAATTAGCAAAAAACGACAACTTTTTATTGCTAAGGTTTATAATTTTTTATTATTTAAAAAAAGTAAAAAATAGACTCATAAAATAAAAATAATTATATTGATTTAACAAAAAATTAAAGCAAAATAGCAAGCTTTGGTGAAGTAGAAACGCAACAAGTAAATAAATCTTAATAATTAAATCAAAATGGTCGTCATAAATCAAACGAAAACGAACATAAATAATATAAATAATAGGAAAATACTAATTTTATGAAAAAATTATGTAATTAATTACAAAAATTAAATAATTTTAATAATACTTATAATGATAAATTAGATTTATAATAATTTTAATAAAATTATAATAAAATAAATTTGAGATAATATGAAGAACATTAGTTTTTAATTGATTAAATCAAATAAAATAATGATTTAACGATATAATTAGAAAATAGTAATTAGGAAAAGACAATTAGTTAAAATTAAGATTAAAAATAAGAAATAATACATTTAAATTAAGTTGATAAAATTTAACAAAATTTTAATAATAATAACAGTATAAATGATAATTTATTTAATTAATAATAAGATTTTTTAAATTAATCAAATTTATAAAATATTACAAGTAATGAAATTGATGAAAATTAAAAAAATACACAATACTATATTAACTAAATCAAATTATTATAAAATGAAATAAATTAATACAAATATTAGTTAAATAATATTGAATAAGACGATTTACTTTTTATGGAAATCCAAAGTTAAAATGATTAATTTAAAGAACAAATTAACATTTTAATTCTTTAAAATGAGTTTTTAAATTATTTAAATTTATTATATATTTAATAATAAATATAATAGATAAAACCTTAAATAGTATAATGAAAACATATCTGAATATAAATAAAAATATAGTGTTATTTTATAAGAAAACATAAATTTAAAAAATGATATTTAAAACTAATTATAAAATAATAAAAATTATAATAATATAAATGAAAGTATAAACTAATTAGAAAAAGAAAATTAAATTCTAAAGTAATAAATAATTGCTTTAAATGAGAAAAATGAAGAAATATATAAAAATAAAATTATTTTATTATAATAGATTGAAAATCTTATAAAAATAATAAATTTTAATAGACTTTAATCTAGTAATATATAAAATATATAGGAAAATATTGATTAAAAATAGGAAAATTAGTAAGAAAACAAATTTTAATAAATAATAAAAGAATAAATATTTATATTGAATGAATTAAAAATTAAGATTGATTATTTATTTTAAGAAAACGAATGTATAAAATTTAATTATAATTAAATTTTTATAGAAAATATAAATTTAAAATAATAAATTAAACCTAATAAAGATTTTTCATTCAATAATTTAAAGTAAATATATCAAAAAATAAAAATAGGTAAGATTATAATAATGCAAATATTTTTATGCCTGCTAAAAAGTATATAAATAAATAATATGTATAATAAATAGCAAATAATAATTAGAATCTTCCTTCAATAGCTTTAAAATTATAAATATAAGATTTAAAGAAATGATAATAAAATAAAGTTAAAATAATTTAAAATAATTGATGATTAATATATTAAGGATATAAATATATTTTTTTATATATTATTTTTTATAAATAATTATATTATACTTTTATTAATAAAAGTCTAAAATTATTTAAACATATTTAATTAAATAATATAAAAACTATTCTTAATAAATTAGATTTTATATAAATTTAAAAAATAATATAATATTGATATATTTTTTTTAAAAAAAAAATGAAAAATAATTTTGAAGCATTTAGAAGAGACTCTCCTGAATATTTTTATGTATTAGATTAATTAAAACTCCCTACAAAAATCGAAGAAATTAAAATAGTGACAATTGAAGATACATGGAATTCTATTAAAGACATGAACGTTCGTGGCGCTCCTTTAATATCAGTAGTAGCCACTTAAGGTTTAAGAAACTCCATATAATAATCTAAAATAAAAAATATTCACGAATTAAAAAATCTCATAAAAGAATAAATAATATATATAAGAACTTCTAGAACTACAGCCGTAAATCTATATAATGACACTCAATAAATTTTAGAATTTTTAAATGAAAGTAAAGATGATGATATAAATATTTTTAAAGAAAAAATATATAATTTAATTGATTAATTCAATATTTTATATATAAATGCATGTTAATAAATGGCGAAACATGCTTATATTTCAATCACCAAATATATTCAAAAACATAAAAAAGATAATAAAAAATTGAATGTATTAACCATATGCAATACAGGAAAATTAGCAACACCTGGGTAAGGTACTGCTCTAGGAATAGTAAGAGAAATGCATAAAAACGGTATGTTAGACACCCTTTACATAACCGAAACTCGTCCATACAACTAAGGTGCCAGACTTACAGCCACTGAAACGGTTTTGGACAATATACCATCAATTTTAATAACTGATAATATGGTCGGAGCCTTAATGTTTTAATAAAAAGTTGATTTAGTAATTACAGGTGCTGATAGAGTAGCTCTAAATGGAGATACGGCTAATAAAATAGGTACCTATTAATTAGCTGTGCTTTCAAAATATCATAATGTGCCTTTTTATGTAGCTTTACCTTCCTAATCAATTTGCAAAAAAACATTAAATCATAAATAAATATAAATAGAGGAGCGTCCTAGTAGAGAGCTTACACACATAGGTGATTTTCAAATAGCTCCAGATGGAATTAAAGTTTGGAATCCATCTTTTGATGTAACTCCAGGAGAATTAATTACTTCTATTTTTCACGAAAACGGTGAATATGAATTCGATAGAGAATTAGGAGTATGGGAAATGCTTTAAAAAGAAAATTTATTTGATTATTTAGTGAAAGATTTAGGATTTTTTAAGGATAAAGAGAAATTGAAAATACTTAATCTCGGAGATGGAAATATGAACCTTGTATTTGCAGTTTGTGATGAAAAATAAGGGAAATCTGTAATTGTTAAATAAGCACTTCCTTATGTAAAATGCATAGGGCCTAGTTGGCCGTTTAGTTTAAGTAGAAGTTTTTATGAATCAAAGGCACTTTAATTTGAATAGAAGTATTGTAAAGAGTATACACCAGAGTTTTATAGCTATGATAAGGATAAAAGTGTGATTTGTATGGAATATTTAGCACCGCCATTTGTTATTCTGAGATAAGGGTTGTTAGAATTTAAGAAATACGATAATATGGCATTACATTTAGCCGACTTTGTTGCAAGGACATGTTTTTTTAGTAGTGGATTACATTTGAGTAATAAAAGATTTAGAGAATTGATGTCTTTTTGGAATGGAAATAATGCTATGTGCAATCTTACAGAATAAGTTATATTTTCGGATCCTTATGTGGAGGCTTAATATAATAGATGGACGCGTCCTTTTTTGGATGAAATTGTAGATTAATTTAAAAATAAAGATGAGGAATTAATACTTGCGATTACTGAATTGAGAAATAAATTTATTAGTGTAAAATAGGCACTTATACATGGAGATTTACATACAGGAAGTGTTATGGTAAGTGATTAATAGACGAAAATTATAGATCCTGAGTTCTCATTTTATGGGCCGATAGGATTTGATTTAGGGGCTTTTATAGCTAATTTATTCATTAATTATTTCTCTTTGAAATAATATGGGGATAGCAAATTTCATGTAGACTTTGGGGAATGGATTTTGTAGTAAGTGAGGGTTTTTTGTGAAAGCTTCGAAAATAAATTCCTCGAATTGTGGAATTCGGATGATAATGTGAAAGATGGATGTGATTTTATGAATTTGTTAATTGGAAAAAATAAAAGTTTGAAAGAAAAAGCTCAATAAAAATATTTGAAAGAGCTTTTTTATGATATGGTAGGATTTGGTGCAGCTAAGATTATTAGGAGAATTATTGGAGTTGCTCATGTTTAAGATTTTGAAAATATTAAAGATGATAAAGTTAGGGCTTAATGTGAAAACAGTACATTGTTGTTTGCGAGATATATTATGGTTAATAGAAGATAATTTAATTGTATTTAAGAAATAATAGATTTGGCAAAAAAATATTATGCTTAATGATATTCCTTTAATAAAAAATTTAATATATTTATGATTATCGTATATTCTTCATATCTCATTAAATTTTTTATAGTAAAAAATATTAATTATAACAATTTATTTTTTTGTTATTATATATAAGTATTTAATATTTAATTTATTTAAATTAATTTAAAAAAAAAATAAAGAAATTAAAATATTTAATTGTTTCTTCAAAAAAATTAATAAATATTAATTGTTTCTTTAAAAAAATTAATAATTATGAAAATAAAAAAATGCAAAATTATAATCATTTACTTTTTATATAATTATTAAATATCATTCCTAAAAATAAATTCTAGCTTAATCTCATAAAATTTTCCTGCTCCTGATTAAAATCCAAGTACAAGCATAAAGACTAGTTCAAGTTAAATCTTTGTTGCCTATTCAAAAGTTTATAGTCATTCCTATTTTCCTAATTTGAGCATTTATTTTTTTATAAAAAATAAATATTTCTTTATTTCAATATAATTCATTCAAATTCACTGTTTAAATATTAAATTCTTTTGTGACTTTTTTAATTTAATCATGATTAGAGGCTAAAATTCCTACCTAAAAATATTTATAAAAGAAAACTTTTGTAAATAATATAAAATCTTTAATAAATATTTTCTATTTTTTCAGGTCAAAATATTCTCCTTTGCTCAATTTGAAATTTTTTTTTTTTATCAACTCATATAAGTTCCATTCTTCACAAATAAACATAAATCTCTTGAATTTAAATTATTCACCTTTCATCATCAATTACTGCTTTCATTTTTTCCTCATCTTTATAATAATCCATAAGTACTTACTGATGATAAAGATCTTATTCATCTCTTATCTATGGATGCAATTCATTTCTAGAAATCATAAAGCTTAAATAACTATAGCAAGCCTATGTGTCTTTCTTCTCTACTTTGATAAATTCTATTATACTTTTACTTAAAGAAATAGAAGCAGTGAAAAACAATTTAAATAAATTTCTTATTATATTAAGCACAACTATCAATAATACATAGTCTTATAATGTTTTAGTTTTTAAAATTTGAAATTTTAGAATATAAATGCCAACTATTTTTTCTGACTAACCCTATTTATTTTTTTCTAAATTGGAATAAAATCAAATATATAGGTCTAGTATATAGATTAAATTTTAATTTTTATATACATCTTCCAAAAAAGGCTATTTAAAATTCTATTTATCGATCACAAAAGGATATTCGTATCTTTCTACATTGCATGAGATAGTGGTAAATAGCATACTAAATAATCTTTTTCTATAAACGTAGTTATTTTTCAGGTAAATTTCCATGAATAAAAATAGCAAACCTTTTGAAATTCTTGCATTTAACGAAGTAAAGTTAAAAGTGGAAATTTTTCAAGTTTGAAATCTGGTCAATGTAAAATATTTTATTAAAATAAAATACTTTTTCTCTTTTTCTTTTATGTTAGAATATAATTTTTCGCATGTTTTAATCAATAAAATCAATCTTCATAAATAAAAGATTCAAATTATATTTAAATGCAGAAAAGTGTAAAATAGAAAAATCTTATAAAACATAGAATGTAAATTTATGTCCTAAGGTATTTTAAGGATGTAGAGTAAATTCTATCAAAATTACAGGCAGTATATTTAATAATATATTCATATCGATTTTACTTTAAATATCACCATTTTATAATGTAAATTTTTATATTCATAGACATATTATTAAATATTTTTAGAATAAAAAGCTAAACCAAGTATTTTTGATTAGTCTTAAACTGAAACCTATGTTATATATTTGAATTTGCATTAATTACAGTGCCTTTAAAAATTTATATATATAATTTTTTTTCACTTTATTATTACATCTTAAATTTTTGATATGTCAAGATTGGGTATTTATAAAAGAAATTTATATTTATATATATAATTTCTTAGTATTTAAGATTATATTTATATTTTATTAAATAAATGTTCGAACTAATTTATAATCCATTTTATATATAAAGCTTTAAAACATATTATATAAATTATATGAATATATGTAATAAATAAATAAAAAATATTATTTTAACACATAATATTTATCTCATTGTTTTTAATATATGTTATTTAAATAAATAAAAAATTTCGTATTTTATAGATATTTTTTTAATTATATTTATTTAAATGTTATTATAATAGAAATTTATTTTATTGATATATAAATATATAATATGAATTCTTATTTAATAATATTTTATAAATTAAATAAAATTAATTTTATAATAAAAATATTATATATATATATATATATATTTAATTTAATTTGTATTTATAGGATAATAATATTTTTTGTTTTAAATATATATAGGAGTGTAGATATAGGTTCATAAATATATTTGTTAAAGGGGTATTTATATGTTTAAAAATATAATAAGAAAGATAGTTATAAGTTATAAATATATTTTAACATATTAAATGCATAAATATATAAATAATTATATATTGGGTATTTAATGGTTATAAATATATTTGGAAAGAATTGTTTTAGATATAAAATATTTTTGGAAAAATAAATACATAAATATGTTTGAAATGGAAATTTATATTTTATAAATATATTTGGAAAGGGAAGTTATAATTTATATATATATATATATTTAAATAAATTAAATATATTTGGAATGGGTATTTGGGTTTGGGGATGAGGGGTTGGGGTTGGGGTGGGGTTGGGTGGGTGGGTGGGTGGG